ATAGCACCAGAGCAATGAGTTTAGACAAGGAAAGGTATAAAGATAGACAAAGATAGCACTTTAGCAACAATTATTCCGAATAATTGTTATCGAGGATTGAAAACATTGTCACATACTTCGTACTTTGAATTGAACGGTATTTCAACGGGAGGAACGTTAGAAATCACGCAGTTTTTCATTGGAAATGAAGTATTATCAGGTTAGTTAATTTTGAAAATAGGAATTCTTTGAATTTCTCGCTTTTACTAATAGTTATTGTAAATTAGAGCATAATTGCATGTAGTAAGCAGCTTAAAATCGATACACGTAGTCAATTTTTAATTGCTTCAACGATGCTAATTATTCAGACAGTGAAATAAAGTTCTTTCGATTTTTTCTTAACTACTTTAATTGAAGAATAATTAGTTTCTTGTTGAATAATTATTGAGATGCTGGTTTACAATTATTGAAAGTATTAAATAAATTTGTTGCATGCTTTAACTTAACAAAACAGCGTAATTTATTAATTTCACCTTGAATTAGCAATTGCATGCAGTAGATTATTTAGAAGTTTAACCCCTTAACGCACAGTTTTTTTGAAAAAAACCGGCCAAAAAAAATCAATTTTTTTAATGTAAAAAAAACAAACTTTAGAACATTGTTTTGGCAAAAAAATAAAAAAAATTCAAAATTAATCAAAATTTTTAGTTTAATTTTGGATTTTGATCCACATTGCAGAAAAGAGCCGAATTCGAATAAATAAGTATTATAGCTTACAATCCTATGTAAATGATAAATATCAATAACACGATTCTTTTTCTTAGCTTTCACATTGTTATTTTCAATTCTCGAATATATTCGAGTGTGAAAAATTATAGCAGCATCAAATACAACGCCGCTCGAATTATCTCGAGTGTGCACAGTTTGGCCTGTTTAGCGCGCTCGAATTAACTCGAGCGTGCAAGTTAAGGGGTTAACTGAAAATTGAAAAATTAATGTCTCTTTCTGTGTGAATTACGAATGGAACTTTCCATTTAAGTTTAAGTCCAGAAAAGGACTTTAATATCGGGAAAAATGAAGAAATGAAATTACTTATAATAAGATAACTGTACAAAATGTATTTTGCAAAAAGTTACAATATACCAGTATTGTTTTACAGCATTTGTTTCTTCTCTTACACACCACACCCATTTATTATTCCGAAACGCTCGTTCTTTAAATAATGTTCCATTGCAAAATTAAATAAACTGTGTCTGTACATCGTTGGGAACGCGTAATAATCGAAAATATAATCGACAAAATTCGGAAATCCGAGCGAAAAACTTCGACAATTGCGCGAAAATAGCGTCGAGAATGTGGACTATTTAATCTAACGAAACATGTACAACTTCAGACCCAGTGTGAAAAATAATATTTACTCTTTGTCGTCTTCGAATCGACATCGAGTTTCTCGTTTAAGGAAAAATCAGGGCAAGAAAATTTTCAGGAAAAGAGAGTATCGTTATATTTCACGTAGATCGTCGAGTTCTCATAGATTGAAAATTATGTCTTCGCAACCAAAGCCTTCTTCAAATGTACGACGAAGAAGGAGACGTCGGATTCCTTACCGGTAAATTGTTTTGTTAAATTATGAAGAAATTATTCGGATTACGTTCATAATGATATTCGTCTAATGAAGGTCACATAACCATATTTACGCGACGAGATCAAAAAGTATACAAACTACCGTTAAAGGAATCAGCAACGCGTCAGGAGTTTTATCAGAGCAATCGTCAGACAGTAGTGTCATTTATATAGGATCTTTCAGAAAGATTCCTGAATTTATCGATCTAGAAAACGACAATTACAAAGAAGAAGTAGTGAACCAACCTCAAGTTCGACCATTAAACACGAAAAAGGTACGACACACGTTTTGCCCAAAAATTCGTTCACGAATAATTAAATGAGAACTCAAAATGAAGCAAGGTTTTCTTATAAACAAGGTACAACAAAATTTACAATCCTGTAGAATAATTAATTTCTCATTTACAAGTGGTACTTTTATTACTTGTAATATTAAAACACTATCAATTTTATTTTTCTGAAATTGGCGTTCCAATTTCTTCAATTGAAGGATTTCATACTACAACATTCTAAGTACACTGACGTAGAGTATAATTAATGTTGATATTAGAGCGATCTTAACCCTGGTGCGTTCTTCTGTTCGACTACACACTTAAGGTCTTTGGGTCTTTTTTGACCCAATGACATTTCTTATTTATTTTTTATAATTATGAGCAACAATTTTTATTATCAGCACGCCATATGAACCTACACAATAAACTTTTAATATAATGTTAAGAAAACATAAACTTGATAACAGCAAAAGATATTAAAAATACAATGGGTTGAAAAAGACCCGAAGACCGCACTAGGGTTAACACTACACAAGAAGAAAAGAATTTTTTTTAAATAAAAATTTTTACTTTGCTAATTATTTCGTACCGATAAATGCCGAAAATCTTAGTTTCTCATTTTCCCAAACAATAATTGCACAATAGTTAAGTACATATAATACATGTCTCTTAGCCCTTTGCACTCCGAGCATTTTCTCACTTCTCACCTTTGCAGTCAATCTTTCGAAAATCAAGAATTTTCTTTCGAAGTGAAAAAATTTGAAATCTTCGTGAAATTCGTGAAAACGAGGCTTGAAAGGAGCTGTGATATATATTACCTGCGCCAGTAGAGTGCAAAGGGTTAATATTTCAATTTTCCTAAAAATTCAGCTTACAATTTGGAACCCTTCAATTATAATTTCAATTCTCGCCACATTTTACTGCTTACTGTAGCAAAATACTTTTTACTTTTCCTTTTCTTCTTTCGAAGTAGAAAATAGTCCACTATTGATATGCAATTTTCTTCTATCGTGAATTGAATCGTTCTGTATCATTTCGCCGCATTAAACGTAATCGTCTCCTTTGATCTTGCAAGGTAGATAGGTCGCGGCCAAGAATTTCCCCAAGAAGGAAGAAACACTTTCTATCTCCGCCTTTCCGGTCCGCAACACTCGAAGCTCCCTGAGAAAAGCGTCCCTCATGTAAGGCCTGCATTCGAGGGCCAGCAATTTCGATAAATCGAATTCCGTGAGGGGAACGGTATTCACTCCAAGTGCGAGCAATTCCGACGGATGTATTCCCAGCCAGCGTACACTTGGACAGGCAAGGCTCTCCCTCTCTCTGGATAACGTCGCTGAGCCGAAACTGCTTCGGAAAAACGTGAAGGAAATTTTATTCTATCCCCTCTGCCTTCTTCTTCCTCTTCTTACTTTTATTCCCCTTCTTTTGAGCTGAATTTTTAGCGGAGATTTTCTATCGAATATTGCTTTGACGTGTAATGGTACTTGGAAATATGAGTTTAATAAATGTCGAAGATTCTTTTCTGTAATTGTTCCTACATCTTTTGGTAATTCTTGAACAGAGAAATATTCTTTGCAACGAGGAATTTTCCAAAAATATCTGATTTTTAATAAACACTGAAGATTTTTTGTGCAATTATTCCTATCTCCTTTCGTAATTCTTTTGACGAAAAATATCGTCTTTACTAGGAAGGATAAATTTTTTAATTTCCCAGAATATCTGATTTTCAATAAATACCGAAGATTTTTCGTGTAATCGTATACTTCTTTAGCAGAAAATGTTATCTTCATCGTGAAAACTGAACTTTTTAATTTCTCAAAATATCTGACTTTTAGCAAATACTGAAAATTTTTTGCTTAATTATTTCTATCTCCTTTGGTGCTTCGGCAGAATAATAAGTTTTTTAATTTCTCGAAAAAATCATAAAGTGAGGAATCTTGATTTTCAGTCATGTTATGACTGATCGTTTAATTTACCGATAAACACACATGATGTCCACGCCAAACGGATCAGCGTCAACAATCGCGTACAGCGGAAGCTCCAATTTCTCCGACAGCAGTTTGACCAGCATTCTTGTCGCCACGTCCGGATATCCCTTTCCCGTCACAATAATGGAATTCAAAGAAGTGGTGCAATCATTTTCCAACAGTTTCTGAAAGACAGCATCCTTCTCGACGATCAGCACCATTTTGGCTCTGGCTCGAACGGAAATTACGTTTGATGAGATCATGGGAATAAGAGCACCTCCTGGCACCTTACAATCGATAATTCGATTGTCGTTTAACGTTAATATCAATTCTCCGGCTACTAATCCTTTGGACGTTGGCAACAAATCTGGATAATTATTTTTTGTTTAGCATACGAAGAAGAATTTTAATTGAAAATTGAATTTTTTTTCGTTTAATTAGAATATTGTTTGGTAGAAAAAAGAACTCACTGAGCTCCCATGGGGCACAATTAAGTAAATTAGCAACGTGATTCACAGCCTGATCCAGGTTTCTCTGTTCTGGCACCAAATTCGAGGTCTTCTCCTTTTTCAGGTCGTAATAAAGGGACCTTCTCGTGATACTCGAGTTTGTAATTAGCAAACGATGCGCTGCCGCCATTACGGTGATCATTAGAGCGAATTTGTCTTTGCCCCTTTTCCTGGCAAAACTGATTACACTTTTTCGCTCATGTTGTTCAGATTCTTCGGTGATTTGTTCAGAATCTTCAGGAAATTGCGATTCGAAATTAATTTCTTCGGTTGTTTGAGTACCCGTTGAAGCGTAATTTTGAGATGAAGAATAGGAAATTTTTGGCAATCGACCGGAACATATTTGTTGAATTATGGAGAAAGTTATGCTCTCGATTCGAGCTACTAATTGTGTTCTAAATTTTATAAAAATTGATTCGTTTATTTTTGTGAAGGAGACTTTTTAATTTAACGTTTCGATCTTATTAATCAATTAGAATGTTCGAAATATTGATCTTATATTCACCTCGACTCTGTATTATCTACTACAGGTATATCGATTTTCTTTTCCTCGACGTCCGCTGGTTGGCTGTCGGTAAATCTGAACCCTTCTCTATTCATATTTTTATTCATTTCAAACAATTTGTCTGAAATAAATAATTTAACTTATGACAGACATTTCATTTCATTTTTAAACAAATTTATCTTCAAGAAGAATCTCAAAATTAATCTCTAATTAACTGACGTTGCATAATAATAAAGTACAGAGAAATACTAAAATCTTTTTGAAAAACACAGACAGATTTTGTATATCGTTCATGTGAGATACTTAATTTAAATTTATGATATTTCACTCCTTTCTGGAATACTTTAAAATAATATTTAAACGCCACACTGTGTAATGTACTCAATTTCTTCGACCACAGATGGCACGAGGAATATTTCCAAGACTCCATTTCACAGACCTTCTTTATCAACGTCATTCAGACAAAAAAAGAAACAATTTTTCCAAAATTGCAAATTAATTTGATAAAAATATTATCAACCTCAAAATTACGAAATGTCACGATGAAACCTCCAACACGTCACAGAAGCGCAAACCAAAAAATTCCAGCACTCAAAATCGATACAAAAATTTCACCGCTGATAAACTTCCTTTTTATCAGTTCTTGTACCACAAAAAAATAAAAGAAAATCACAATTCTCAAAAAAAAAAAAGAAAAAAGAAAATGTAACCAAATATCAACTTTCATTTCATCGGCCGAAACGCAATAAGAATTATCCGCGAAACAGGAAGTTGATGGGAGCCAAAGGGACGTAAAGAGGGTGGAGCCTACCTAAAGTCAGTTTTTCGAAGCAACAACTCCGGCATGTTTCGATGCGAGCTTAAAAGGCAACGAGGCTCGATAAAAATCTAAATACGACCTATCCGAACGTAACATTCTCACAGCAATAAACATATTAAGTTGTTCGACGACTGAACAAGTATTGATCCAGAATGGTGAACTGGTACTGTTCGACGATCGACAACGATTTTCCTGGTTGGGGAACGACGCTCGTATCGAGTAGCGAATCTCGAGAGAGCTGGACACCCCGCTGCGCATTTGTGAGCGGCGACCATTGAACGCCGCGCTACCGAGTGCACTAAAGACACTTCAGGACCTCATTGTGTTGCACAAAACAGTGGCCGTGCCTGCAAAACGCTCGATTGTAACGAAATTCAGCGGCTGCCCGCGTCACGGATTCACGTTTGATTGTACTCGATCGTAGAATCATCATTAAATCCTGAATTAGTCCGGTGAGATTTGAATAATTCAAAAAGAAACAAAAAAGGGTAAGATCTGAATAATTTTCATCCTGCTAATTTCACAATTTTAACGACAATACATTGAATGTTGTCAATTTTAAATTTGCCTTATCCTCACATCCGTCAATGAGATTTCAGTGGTTCGATGGATTGAAAAATTCACTAATTCGAACCTATTCGATCGTAGAATTACATTTCGCCGTGAATTAATTTGGTGAGATCTGAAAAATTTTTAGAGAAAAAATGGATAGACTCTGATTGTAAAAATTTACGATTGTGCGATTGTAAAAATAATGCGTTAAACCTTATCAATTTTTAATTTTCCTTATCCTCACATACCAATCGATGAAATTTCAGCGATCTGAGGATTTTGAAAAAATTTCAAGATAGAAAAATTCAACTGATGTGAAAAACAACCCTAACTAGGGTTAAGGAAGAAATTCTTGAACAAAGAGTGAAGAAAAGTTGTCGAGGTTCTTGTTCTGATTTACGAATGTATCTTTGATGAATTATGAAACTGTTTCGTTTGTATTAGCTGAATAATAAAAATCGAGTGTCCACCTTTCTCTTCAGTACCATATTGTAGCCACGTGTAATAGATAATGTACAGATTTGAATGCTTTATTGTTTCACAATGTAATTATTCTACCCTTCTATCATTTTCCAATTTTATTTTCATCCCAGGATTACTTTTAATCACTGACTTGGTCAATATTTTTTTAATCAATGGTAAGAATTCTTTTTAAATAAATAATCAGTAAAACTGAATATTTTCGTCGGTATAAATAATTAATTGTCAGTATTAAATCGCCTTTTGTTTATTTGGTCGGTATTAACTTGTGTCTTAGTCAATAAAATTTAAATTTTTAGTTAGGTTAGCTTAAATTAGGATATTTTATCATGCACATTGACCATCTATTTCAAATACTGGCAAATCGTTATGTTTACTAATATTTTATTGGAAATACTGACAGTTTTTGTATTAATCGATGTAATACTGGCCACTTATACGTATTACGTACTGATGTTTTGCTTTAAATACTGACCATTTATTTAAAATGCTGATTAAAATTTTTTAAAATACTGACCCAATAAAGAGCAGTCATTTTTAACACATTGTTAACCGACTGGGGAGATTTACCTTTTCTACCATTCACAACGAAAGATACTTTATGCTCATATTTTATTCGAAGAAATTTCGTTGAAACCATCGTTTATTTGTGTGTTATTAATTTTCTTAACACAGGAGTTTTTTGCATATTTTTCTAGAAATCTTTTCAGCAATCTTAGATAATTATTCAACTGCAATTCGTTCGGTTGATAATGTGTTAACGTATGTGGAAATTGAATTTACTCTGATTTAATTAGTCCTGTTAAGTTCAACCTTGCATAGATTGTGCCGACTTAATATTTTTCTAATGTAAAAATTGGTTGCACAAAAAATGGATTTGCTCACAACCGCAGATGTTACATAAATTTCCTTGGTCCACGGATGTTCCATGGACACCTCAAGCGCTCCAAGGGACAATGAATACTAACGAGCGGCCGTGGACATTTGCGACGCGTGCCAAAACATTTTAGGGTCAGTGAAACCGCCCCTTCGCAATTATTCCTGTGCCCCCTTGCTTATGAACGCCAAATTTATGATCCGCTCGCGTGATATCGCAAAAAATTGCCATTCATTACTAGTCATAAGTAGCTGTACATTAACTCGCATTACTGGAGTGGTTACAAACTTTTTCGCGAAACCGTTCGCCTATAGAAATTGACTGTAGACACAATTTCACCGAAAAATTATGTCACTTTTTCTCACGTCTCATTCATATTCCCTTGAAATGCAAAAAGAAAATTTCACACGGCAATACTTATTGTTAACATTCGACTTAGCTGCTGTTTAATTATTTTTATCATTGTTTTATCCTTTTTATCATATAATCTACCTTATCATTAGAGGTACAATTACAATTCGTTTCATGTTCACTTATTTACCATTAAAATTTTTGAATTACTATACACTGGGCGCCAGAAAAATTGCAACACCTGAGAAACCAAATCGCACAAATTTGAAATTTACATACGTTGTTTGGGGTATTAAAAAGGGAAGAGGATTAAAATTTTGTTTGTTTCGTTTAAAATGTTTATTATTTGTTAAAAAAGGTCCTTTTTTCCTCAGAGTAGCCCGAAAAACAAATGCGATTACCAGATTTGTGCAACCCAAATTTCTAGGTGTTGCAATTTTTTTGGCGAGCAGTGTAAATTGCATATACTTTTATTTCACTTATATTCTTTCTTTGTTACGTCAAGTAGAACAGAGCCGGCAACGTTCACGAACGATGATTGCACACATTGCGGTCGCTGGAGGCTGTCGAATCGGCGTCTATCCCCAGCCAATTGGCGCGCAAACGGGCAGAAGTAGAAAATCTCGTCTTGAAGGCCCGCGCCTGGCCTCTTTACCACGCATAAAGGGATTATTCACGACAAAATAATACAAGAACACCGCTCGGTTTCGCATTAAAGACACTCCAAGGCTGCTCCTCTATACACCGTAGGGGGATAGTGTTACATTGTGCAACGAGTACGTTCGAGAAACACACCCCTGAGAATGCTCGTTCTACTCGAGACCTCAAATGGCCCGTATATATACGACCGCGTCCTCCTCAAAATATCGGTTGGACCATTGAAGAAGATCACGAAAATATCGCTCGATCCGCCTAATCTTTAATATTCGCTCGTCTGAATTCTTCCAAGTATTACAAAAATCACAAATAATCCCTTTTATAGAACCGGCCTTTATTCGTCGGATTTACAGATCTCCTGTAAGTATATATATATAATAGTAGGTACGCTTCGAAAATACGTGAACGTTTTTTCTTTTTTTCATCTTCTTTTTCTCCATTTGGCTATGTAGAATTTTTCGGGTCAACGAATTCGACGGAGAATCTGGTGCATTTCCGGCACGAAGGTGCGAAACATTTGTAATTCGATGCGATGGTTATTTCTCGGGGAAAAGGAATAATCGTGTGTAAGCCTCTGTGACAGAGAGGTAATCCCTTCACGGTGTTAGGAGATTTCGAAAAATGAGAATCGAAAGGTTTCTCATATTCAAAATGTCCCGCTCGCATGATTGAGTGGCGAGAATAGCGAGGTGCGTACCTGTTCGATTCGACGGAGAGAAGCGGTGACGATTTGTCAAATCCGTCAAATGTTCGCGTTCACGTGTGCACAGGCGACGCACAATATCGCGGTGAGGCCGAATATTTTTCTGCCTCGAAGATACAGAGAGAGAGAGAGAGAGAGATAGAAGAAGAGGAGGTAGTTGACGAATAAATTTAGGGGAGCTCGAAATACACTACCTGCCACGAGTTTCAGCCTGGTTACTTCGACAGCTTTTATTGAATGGAGTGAACCATAAATAGCAATCGTCTTAAAATATTAATTTCTTTCTTCGGAGGAAACGAAATCTCCAGATTCATTTATCTCTCATTCATCAAAGGTTAGGTTTCATTCATCAATTTTTTACATGAAATAAATAGTTAGAAGGTAGGATATAAAAAATTTTCCGTGAAAATGAACCACTCTCGGAATTGTTTCGAACTTCAAGACGAATTTTTCTAATTCTTGAATTCATCAAGAGGAATTGCTCGAATTCTCGAATTCCTGAAGGCGAATTTTTCAAATACTTGAATTCGTCAAGACGAATTGCTCGAATTCCTGAAGGCGAATTGTTCGTATTCTCGAATTCCTGAAGACGAATTTTTCAAATTCTTGAATTCATCAAGACGAATTTTTCAAATTCCTGAATTCGAATTCTCGA